TTTCTAGCCTGTCTTATGTGCTGAACAAGATGGCCGTGCAGTGCCGACTCAGCAGCTCACCCACGCCCGTCGCGGGAGGCGACATCGGCCGGGTGTCAAATGAATGTCAATTACACACTGCTCTGCTGATTGTCAGAGCATCGAGCGTCATTTCAGCATTTGCATACCGAATTTACTTTCAAGCCTTTCCACTGCAATGAATCATTTTGAATGCTTCTGATATGCAACAGGTAGGTATTGCCAGCAGGAAAGCTTCCAACCGGAATGGGTCTCTTTCGAAGGTGCGAAAATATCCCATTGGCCACGCTTTTCTGTTCTTTATCAACACGCGCTCGAGTGAGAGGTCGATTTGGCCCCGCAAGGTTTTTCCAGGATGATTTCCGAACGGCGCGGATTAGCCGCATCAGACTTTGCATAGCTGTAGGTGGTTGAATAGCGGAGATTGTGGTATGGAAAATAGACGTACCTTGTAAGGTAGCTGACCTATGACAGGTCAAAGTCAGGCCATGGCTGTCAGCGAAGGCTATCTCCAGGGATTCGTTCAATCTGATGCGAAAACGGAGTGTTGGACGAAGTCATGCATCTCTGAGATAGTTTGTTAGCCAATAATCCAGTTGAATTATTGATTATAACAAATTTCGCCGACCTAGGCCCAGATATAAGTCAGACCGAGATCAAAACTGAACTGCGCTGCTACTCGGGAGCTTAATTCATGGGGTGGTTTTGGTGTTCATTTCAAATTTATCGATGATGGGACCCGCCACGGACATGTTTCATGAGCTTTCTAACTGTTAAAGTAGGTAACTTAAGTAGGTAAACAAAGTAGGTAAGCAAATTAGGTAAAGTAGGTAACAAATTCCCCAGGTCAACGTCTTGTTTTTAGGAAACATACCACCTAGCGTCGTACTTGCGCCTATTTGTAGAGCAAAATAGAATCAATCTTGTATGATTTTTGGTCACTTGATCTTCCTAATGGTCAAAAAGGTCACTAACCTTTAATGAACATCATTGACCGTTGGCTTAAAACAGGCATCGAGAATCACAGCCATTGTGTGCGGATATCTGTGGGCCACTTAAGGCACCAATCTGCAGGCTGAATTTGTTGACTTTATTTGACTTTGGGCTCATAACCTAGAAATCCTATATTTTGACGCAAGTAAGTTCGCATACAGGGATAATCCACCCTACAAATTTGGTTTCTCTCGAGCTATCTTAGTTTTCAAGATCGTAGGAGTCAACTTGTCAACTACCCCATGCGAAGGGTATTCAACGGCCACTCGGACGCGTGTTCACGACTTCATAACTTCACGGAATCCGGCTGCCTTATGTACGCTGATCATGTCAAAACCTTGCACCAGGTTTCATCACACAGCTGTTGCGCTGCTACTGCAACAGGACCTTGTTCGTTGTCTGGCTGTGTCGCTCGGATGCTGATTCACTTTAAATCCCAGTGAGGGACTAAATATAAAACACTAACCCTTACCAGCGACCACTCAGAACAGGCACCAACAGCTCAACCGAGCCAGAAAAGGTACGTGAGCTCGAGGTGTAGCGTGACGAGTGATTAAAGACTCACCGTCATTCCTCACATATGCAGTCAGACGCGTTAATCTTGTACATGGTCTGTTATCATTTATCATTCACAGACTATGTGTCATTTACACATAGTCTGTCTATCTTAGCCCAAACCGGCCTACATTAAATCGAGAGCCCTCTCGCTGCAGGCCTCTTTCCACAATGTTCTACTTGCTTTAAAGTGCTACGGGATGATTTGAGCCCACATGACCGATTCGCACAGGGCTTGTGTCCATAGAGCGCAGCGTAAAAGTCTCGTCTAGCTTCCACATCTTACTTTATCCGGTCTAGCCCGTTCCTCACCGCATCATGATCTTTGGCGTCATTTTTAATTGACCTCTGTGGATTTAATGAAAGCAAGCAAGTCGTTTAAGTGAACACATTTCGAGCAAAATATACTAATTCTGCTCCCACGCTTCTTTGACATGTGCCGCTTTGAAGAAGCTAACACACAAGCTCTTTGCCGTGCACAATAGGCGTATGAAAATAGCACTTTCTGTGAGGTTGCCAGGCTACCAAAATCCAAATAAGCTTGTTGGCCCATGGTGCCACACGAGCAGGTTTCTTTGAAAACGATAATTACATTTTGACTCGTGGGCCTTAAAACGCATCGTTAACTTATTTCCTACGTTATGTTACTTTTACTTATCCCCTACGTTATGTTACCGTTTGATTGTTTATGATGACCTGTATTCTGTCACAGTCTCATTTTCATGTTTTGCATTTTATCACGTGGTTTGTCCTGTTAGCACCTACCGGAGTACTTGTGTGGCTGCTACCGGAGCACTGCCTGTGCTCCGGTAGCAGCTAAATAAATAAATAATCACATAAGTAAGTCATGGATCGGGTTCCCTCCCCCACCGAGGTCAGTGAATCCAGATTGGCCCGTTGCGTGCGAGCTGTGGCGGGAAGCCCCGGCGACAGCCGAGAGGGCAGGGATCTGTTCCGCACAGTCAGCCCCACCACGAGTGACGCTACATCGTCAGCGGTTGTTCCGCAACGATCAAACAGTGCGGCGTACAAGGCGAGCGAAGCCATCAGTGCTGATGGTGCCGCATGCACCATCAGTGCTGATGGTGCCGCACGCATCATCAGTGCTGACAGTGCCGCACGCACCACCAGTGCTGATGGTGCCGCACGCACCATCAGTGCTGTCTCGCTAAGATGTGGAACAGGGAAACGTATGCCGCGTACAGTCTGTGGATGTGACCAACAATGTAGACGTGGTGGGATAATCAGAAAGGCCCTTGCGGCAGGGCATTTAAAAACGAGCACAGATGACAAAGAATAAAGTCAGGATTAAATGAGATTTGGGAAAGGTGAAAAAATGTGTTCGAGGATTGACATGCCACAAAACACGAATCTTTGTGAAGCTGTTCATACTCCGAAAGGTTCTCCTGGTTATTCTGTACCCAGTGTTCTGTAACCAGTTTGATTTTCCAGCTAAAAAAAAATCCAGAATGCTGACGGTATCACTGTCACGTTTTGCGTCTTACGGCGTCTAACGACACCGAATCTAGCGTCATCTTGCAAAAACCCACCGGCCTTGTCAAGCAAGTTCAAGGGGAGCCTGAAGAGAAGAGGGCAGTCAAGGGGAGGAGTCTGAGGGCAGACTCACCGCGCCGAGCCATGTAGAGGAGACTCACCGCGGCGCTGGCTATACCTGAGGAACCGTGTCACCACCGACTGACACCTGGTCCGTGACGTGCGCGGTTACCATGGAGACCAGCCAGCTGACGGCCGCCAGGCTGCTGGCACGCGTCAGTTGAGCCGCATTTCCACAATGCCTCAAGGATTAAAGCACGCGGAGCATAACTCAGCGAGCTCCGCGTTATGCAGGTGTGAGGCCTGGGATGGCTGTGCGCGGTTCTCGGTCAGCTAACTCACTCTCTGTCAGCATGCGATGTCTCCGTCCGGTGAATTTCGGCGTTGCAGTGTCTGTCAGTCACGAAGAGGCTCGCGTTCTGAGGGGTCGTTGACCTCGCAGTTGGGCCTTTCCGAAGGTGCTGGAGGTTACTGGGATCCTCTGGCGAGCCGCCAGATCTCACTGGGACCTTCTCAGAAATTACCCTCCTCCACGGCACCTAATCCAGGGACGTTGAACTCTACGACAGGACCGATTCAGGGTTTTACCTGTCGAAATGCCTGAGTCTAGTTACCTTCCCGTGCTCTTTGCACAAGAGAAAACTTTTCTTGTGCATGTGCGTGTCTTCACGAAATATTTTTGAGACCCCATCTGTTTTACAGGGTCTCGGAATTCTTCATTCTTTGAGCGGCTTTCGCGTAGGTCCCAGTGGAGGGTTAAAATCGATGACACCCCACGACCCCTCTACTGGATCCGCTCTTGCCTCGCTAGGACCCACGTGGCGACTCTCTCTCTCTCTCTCTCTCTCTCTCTCTCTCTATCTCTCTTCTCTCTCTCTCTCTCTCTCTCTCTCTCTCTCTCTCTCTCTCTCTCTCTCTTCTCTCTCTCTCTCTCTCTCTCCTCTCTCTCTCTCTCTCTCTCTCTCTCTCTCTTCTTCTTCTCTCACTTCGAAATGTTAAGACCTCTGCTCCGGCTGGGAACTGACATGAGAACTACAACCCCTTAATTGGGACCGTTTTGAGGACTTTGGGCCCCGATTGGCACCTGTCTAATGTTTGTTGACCCTTGACTGGGACACACTCGGAAACCTTTTTTTCTCACCTAGAAGCCTTTTGAGACCTCTACTCTCGCTTGAATCCATTAGAGGACGGTAAGCCCGACTGGGTCCCGTTTCTGAGGTCGTTGAACCCTCACTGGCACACGGCCCCGCCGTCGTTGAGCCTCCGTTGGCTCACGTCCCACTGTCGTTGACCTGTCACTGGGACCCGTTCGGAGCTCTGACCCCGAAGGCGTCCTGCGGCCTGTAGCAGTCCCCGCCCACGCTCGCCTTGACCACCGTGTCCGGTACAGCTGTCGCCCGCGGGCAGATAAACTGCCAGCGGTGAAAAAACGATAGTTCCCGTTGAGTCCGGAACACAACGGTCAGGTCACGACGGAAGGGTCATTGTTACAGTACTGGCTGACCGCCGGCATGTGCGGAATAATGTGACGTCTAGTAAATTGTCCCGTAAGGCATTTTTAAGTCGGGTTCGACAAAGATGTTTCCGTTTCGTGATGAATGTTTTTCCTGCTTTGAAACCTTGGAATGCCAACATTCGACTAAAATGTGTACACCGGTGCAGTTATAAGCTGCTCTTGGTACAGATCTTCGGGAGACCTATACGACAATCGATGCATGTGCTGGCCTGCAATATGAAAATTAAATACAATCAAATAAATTAAATACAAATAAGAAATACAATTTAAAAAAATACAATTAAATACAATTAAATACAATACGGAATGGACACGGAAACTAGATGTATAAAGATCCAGAACAACAACAGAAGGTGAAAAAGCGCCATATACTTACACAATATGAAACGATGTCAAATGATCATGCTTAAATATGGTAAGGGCGGTAAAAAATGACCGTTCCCAAGGATGGGAAAATTAGTTGCGGGCCGGCAAAAAGTTCAGTTGAATGAAGGCTTGGAGCAGAAGGTAAAGAACAACCTGCGATAAATCACTAAGATGACTTGAATATCACAGAGTGTGCAGAGTTTCTACACAAAGTGATAGAATCTGATGGGCACCGGTTTCATCTTACAAGCGGCGAAACACCACACATCTGTTTTGTCATTGGCCTAAAAACTCATTGCTTTGGAGACATAGCGTCCATAGTCTTGATGTTCAAGCAGTGAACAAAATGAAGGGTTTCTTTGAAAGGCATTCTCCGACCAGCTCAGAGGACACATTGATGTTATATTTTAACAAGCTCTTGGGTCAGGGAACGTAGAAACAAACAACGACTCCAAGCGCACCGCACCGCCACCGCACCTGCACCGCCGCCAAGAAACTGCTCGAATGCCTCGAAGTAGCAGAACACATTTATGCTGCCAAGAGCAGTCTTGAGAAACATCACATCCAATGGTAGACATGGCGAAAGGTAGGCACCAAAGCACAGGGACAACTTTGAGCGGGTTATGCCGCAGAGCTGCCACTGGTGCTTGTCTCAAAGCGTCTTGTGTACACACGTCCAGCAGTATGCTGTCCAGCGATTGACAACGGAATCCACAACAGTGCAGCGTGGGCAGTGTGTGTATTACAACACAAAAAAACAAAAATCCTCTAATCCACCCATCCCCCTCGGGTGCTGACCGTCAGACCAGACAATCTGAATGGGCGGCTCTGCAGTTCCAGGGTGCGGGAGCGGTCGAGCCACGTGGCCGGCTTGACCGGCGGCGCCGCGCAGCGGATGTGATTCCGCGACCCGACGCGAGGCGGCGCTAGAAGCGGAGGCGTAAGATGATCTAGACTTCTTTATGTGAACGTAGCTTTGTGTTTTTGCTATATTATGTCAGTTTGGAAATTGCGAAAATTGGAAAAAGCATATAAATGAAAAGTTTGCAACGTAATGTCATTCACTTTATACTAACTACCGTGGTAACCAGGCTTGTGTTTTACTGAATATTGTTGAGCCGTCTCAGCACCGGCTCTCAGATTTTGGGGTCCAATTCTGCTCATGGCTCGTAGCCTTTCCAACGTTCTTTTTTTATTCAGCTGAGTTCAGCCTCCTTGTTTGCTTTGAGTTTTTTGACTCATGACACCGTGGCTTGCAAAATCGAAATATTTGATTGAGTTATGGGATGTTGTCTTATGACTTGACCTATACGACTCATGAATGCATATATATATATATATATATATATATATATATATATATATATATATATATATATACCATCATGGCATGGAAAAAGGGTACAAATATCATAGAAGCAAGATTCTAGTTTGAACCTGGCAAATGCAGTGCAGCAAACAATATATTTCCTGTAAACTGTTACCAGCCAGCTCTCTCAAGTCTTAGTTCTCGGCTAGCACATTCTTCATGGCACCCACAATCCAGACCCATTAGTTATATGTGTAATGTGGGCTGGACC